GGTGAGGGCATGGAAGGTGGCGGGCGTGTGGCTGACAGACTGTAGCTTGTTACTCGTCTCACTTGCGTGGCAGCTGCTGAACGAGGTGACCCGGGGGGACATGGCGTCGGCAGATGCCCTCCTGGAGATAGGGCCTGGGGATGATGACATTTACGTCTCGGATCATGAGGAAGAGGATGACGTGTCCCTGGCCAGCGATCTGGACCCGGAGGAGCTGGTTGAGATAGAGGCCCGTCAGCGCCGTCTGGAGCGGGAGAGGCGAGAACAGGGTGCAAAGAGGTGAGAGCTGGGAGAGGCCTCCCTGGGGCTTCCTTTGGAGCAGCTCTGTTGTGGTAGGGGGCACTGATCCTGATGCTGTTTGTCACAGGGTGAAATTTAAGCAGAAGGAAGAGGAGGAGGAAGGGGAGGAAGAGGAGAATCCCCTGCTGGTGCCTCTGGAGGAGAAATCAGTGCTGGAGGAACGGCAGACCAGCCTGTGGTTCGGGAAGGTGAGTCCTACTGGGCCAGAAAGGACAGGGCAGCCTCAACCCCAGCAGCTCCCCAGTCTGTGCTGTGACCCTGACCCACTGCTCCCCATCGCCAGGATGCCTTTGCCGGCATTGAGGATGATGCAGATGAGGACCTGGAGCTGGGACAGTCACAGATGTTGGCTGAGAGACAGCGAGAGTCTCAGAGAGGTTAGTGGGGGGCTGCATCACTGAGGGGGCACAGAGGGACAGCCCCACTGCAGCCTGGGGCACTGGATCAAACCATGATGGGGACGCTGCTCTGAGCAGGACCGGAGATCCCCAGGGGTTGTTTCCAGCCTGTGTTGTTACACAGTTAACAAACAGGCATTACTGTAGCGTTAATGAGCTGGGTCTCTGGAGGAATGACCTGCGGAGGGGTTTGCCTCAACCCTTCTCACCCAGTGGTTCCTCTTCCCCAGACAAAACAACGAGGAAAGAGCAGAAGGTGGTACCCCAGGAGGCAGCTCCAGCTGAGTCCCCGCCTGCCACAGACACAGCACCCGGCGCTGGTAAAGCGCAGGATGAGCAGAGCAGCGACGATGACAGCAGCAGCGATGAGGAGGGGTGAGGGCTGAGAGGGGGGCGATCTGGTTGTTCTCTCCCAGCTCCCACAGTCCTGGAGAGCTGGGAGGTGAGGACCCCAGCCCTGACCACTCCTCTCTGCAGGCCGCCGGCAACAGTGGGGAGGAAGCGGGGCCGTGTCGAGCCGTGTGGCTTCGAGGTGGTGCCCATTGAGAATCCAGGTGAGTGGGGGGTGCTGTCTGGACCTGTGCAACCAGTGATGCCACTGAGTCCCTCTTTAGGGACAGAAGGCAGGGTCAGACCATGCTCATTTGGGCTGGCAGGGCTGCTTGCAGATAGGCCAAGCTTTAATCTGTCTGTATGCCGCAGTGAAAAGAGCCCGTGTCCTGGACGCAGAGGGCCTGGCACTCGGCTCTGTCATCGCCACCTCCAAAAAGGCCAAACGGGACCTGATTGATGACTCCTTCAACAGGTACTTGTGGCTGGGGTTGCTGGAGGAGGAGCAGCATTCGGTGTCCTGACAGGAGACGGGACGTGGGGGTGGCAGATGTGTTGGTGTGGAGACCCCCCATCCCGCTCACGGCTCACCCGAGTCCCCTGCCCCAGGTATTCCTTCAACGAGGATGAGGGAGAGCTGCCAGAGTGGTTCACAGAGGAGGAGAAGCAGCACCGGCGCAAGCAGATACCAGTGGACCGGCAGACGGTTGAGGCGTATCGTCAGCGCTGGCGGGAGATCAACGCCCGCCCCATCAAGAAAGTGGCAGAGGCGAAGGCTCGCAAGAAGCGGCGGGTGAGTGGGTCTGGGGATGTGAACAGGGGCTCTGTCCCCCCTCCCAGGTCCCTCCTCCGATCCCCCTTGTCCCTCACCTTTGCTTTCCCCACAGATGCTGAAGAAGATGGAGCAGATGAAGAAGAAAGCTGAGGCTGTGGTGAGCACGGTGGATATCTCGGAGCGGGAGAAGGTGGCCCAGCTGCGGCGGTGAGTGGCGAAGCCCCAGAGCCTTCGTGTCGTGCTGGGCCGGTTCACGATGCCTTGTCCCTGCGGCCACTGCGCGGGGACAGCTCCTGCATGTGACCCAGCTGGGTGTAGGCTGTGGGGGGACAGAGCGAGCGAGGGAGCCCCATCTCGGGGCAGAGAGGCCCAGAGGAGTGGAGGGACCCAATATTGGTCTGTAGATACGTCCCAACGCCAAACTGCTGGAGCTGGGCCGGGGTCTCGGTCTCACCTTCTGCTGTTCTCCTGCAGCATCTACAAGAAGGCCGGGCTGGCCAAGGAGAAGCGGCAGGTCACCTACCTGGTGGCTAAGAAAGGCGTAGGACCCCGGGTACGCCGTCCTCCCGGCGTCAAGGGCCAGTTCAAGGTTGTCGACAGCCGCCTCAAGAAGGATGTGAGGGCTCAGAAGCGCAAAGAGCAGAAGAAAAAACACCATAAGTGACGTGGGACCAGCGCCGTCCATGATGAGGGACTCAGCCTGGGGCATGGGGCAGGGCTGGCTCCTGTCCTCCCGCTGCGGCCGTGGGAGCAGCCGGCTCGCCCTGCCACTCTCCCTCATCTAGAGACTGTGAGTTGGCCACACGTGGCAGTTAGTCTGTGCCTTTATGTGACCCTGCCTGCTGGCCTGCGGTGGGCTGCGGAGGGTTGTTTGGCCTCCATGCTGTAGCATCAACC